GCTGGACACTACACTGTTTTCATCCCTTCAACGATAAAGATCACTTCACAAAATGAGGGTTCTTGCCTATTGGCCAGAAAAAGTCCCTTCAGTTGATTTTCAGATGCAATCAGTTGTCCAATTCTTCTAGATCAGTCTTTCCACATATTCTATACTGGAATACCATTTCAACTTATAATTAATGTCTAGGTTAAAATTCACTGTCTTAAACTGCATCTTGAAGTAGAGTCATTAGTGTTTGGAGTTCTAGTTTTAACTCCTCAGTGCTGGCATGCTCAGTGCATCCATTGCCAGCAATGGATTTGGGCTAGGAAACTGTACATCCCAGTATAGAGGAACTCAGGAAGAATGGGCATTCTCCAACAGTGGTGGTCCATCTCTGTGCATGGATGGGTGTGTGTGCTCCCTTTTGTAAGTTTTGGGAGGGAGTTTAGGGATATGTTGAGAAGTGCTTTGTCGTGGAGGAACAGGCGGCCCAGCAATGGGATGGAGGTCCACTTCTTGTGTCAATGGTGGTGACGGCAGATGCCTTCTTGTGCCATGAGGAGAAGGGGTTTGAGGAAGAGGTGGTGTAAAAGGGGAAGGGCTGTTTGGGAAGAAGGCATTGCCATGGTCACTCTTTTTGCCCAAAGGGGGAGGTTGGAGATGTAGTGGTGAGCTTGAGAAAACATCAGGTGTCCTCACAGGCTCTCGTGGTGGTAATAAGGGAGGGCTCTCAGGAGGGTCTGATATAGAGGTCCGGTCTGATATTGAGTAGCGTGGTGAATAGGCTTTTGATGTGGGTTGCCTAGGAGGAATGGCTGGGGGGCTGTCCAAGTGCTTAGACATAATCTAACAAATGAGAAAAGAATAAAACATACTTATTAATAATTGAATTACTGTACTACCATGAATAAATTAAGAATTTGGGCTTTTCAAACATACTATTGGCAGAATACTAGGTGTAGAACAGCAAGTTTTGTCCTGTTTTAAATAATTAGTATTGACAAATCACAGGAAAAAATATTAATTTTGCTAATGTTAAATTTTTACCTTGTTTTGTTTCTCAGAATTTTGTTTGCTGTTGCTTGCCTACTGTGAAGTATAATTTCTGATTTAGTGTATATTACCCATTAATTTTTCAATTTCATTTTACTGTATAATATTTCATGAAATTCTGTAAAAAATATCTTGGCTTATCCAGGTGCTCCACTCTCTGGACAGCGTAAGAACAAATGAATTAAGTTAACAGCTGGCAAAATAAGTACATAAATTTTTAATAAATTAAAAAAGATGAAACAAATAGTCATTATGAGCCTTTAGGGTCTCTTCCAATCTATAGTTTTCATGAAAACCCCATTTTGAGACATGCTAGGTCCCCTATAGACTTAGATAAGTAACTTTAGCATATGCAAAGATTAGGTTTCACTTGTCATATACTTTTATGCAAATCATCTTTGTACCTCCCCCACTCCCCTGTATGTTTTTAAAGAACTGCTTGAGGGCCAGGGATTTAGCTCAGTGGTGCCATTGCCTGCCTTGAAAGCACAAGTTCCCCAGTTCCATCCCCAGTACCGAAAGAAAGAAAAAGAAAAGAAAAGAAAGAAGTGCTTGAGATTACTCTTAATTTATAGATTAAAACTTGTTTTTTTTCTTGACAATACCCATAACTTTAGGTTTTCAAGGGTTTTGCAAACATACTGAAAAACTACCTTTAGAAAAAAAGAAACATTCTGCATGCTAAATCCATATTTCATCTTTGTTTAAACTATTCAGTACAATTACTCTGAAATGTTAACTTATTCCAGTAAGAAATAAACTAGACATAAACAATTGACTATAATGTAACTATAATGATTCTAATTTCCAGATAACAAGATTTTCTACTTTACCTTAGATGGCGAAGATTCAGCTGGGGCAGACTCTGGTCGTCTTCGTGGAGGAACAGGCGGGGGGATGGGCACTTCATCAGTACCCTTGGTTAAACTTATAGATGATACAGAAGCAGATCCTGTAGGATGTTAAATTTCAAAAAAAGTTTATGGGAATTTCATTTCACTCATTAATCTTGAGAAGGCTTAGCTGAAAACTGCTAATATTTATTAAAAGAAATGTGTAAAAGTATAGAAAACACTTTATAACCAATACCCAATAGTATTTCATTAAAGGAAACTGCTATAAATACATGCAGAAATGTCTTAGCAGAATTTTTAGAGAAAAGCTGCCAAAGATGTCGTTATTTTGCTTCTTGAACAAAATAACATTCTAACAAAATAATGTTTACTCTATTCCTGGAACTTTTAATTGGGTCTGATTCTCAGATTTATATTGAAAAGGTATTTGGAAATCTTTGGAATAGTAATTTTTGTTAAGCTTTGAGATGAGCTCATTTTTTTCCTTCTAATTTATTAGTAGAGAATTTCCCTAGCCTTAATTAGTTGGAACTGTCTAATCTTAAGCACTCTCTCCAATGTCCCTCCCCAGCAATTAAAGGATGCAGGGGGAAGAATCTAGTGTCTAGGTGGGCCTCTCCTTGTTTTTGCTTGGGCTATAGGCTCTCTTGGGCATGGAAGGAAATCAGGCTCATCAGATCTAATCTAAAAACTAACTGGGGCCAGGGATTTAGCTCAGTGGTGCTGCCGTCTGCCTTGCAAGGGCAAGGACCCAAGTTCTATCCCTGGTACCAAAAAAATAAAAATAAAAAAATAAAAAATAAAAACTAGGGGCTAGGGATTTGGCTCAGTGGTTCTGTCCCCTGCCTTGGAAGTGCAAAGGCCAGAGTTTGATCTCCACTACCAAACAAACAAAATTCCCCAAAACAAAAAACTAACTGTAATGGAGTTATTCAAGATGACTAGGGCAACTTTGATATGAACACAGGTATACTAAAATCTAGTGACCCTGATTTAGTAATTAGTTAATGAACTGGCACAAAAAAATGGTAAATAAAGCTTCTAACTGAAACCTATCTTACAGACATTAAAAAGGGTGTAATATAAGACAGTACATATGTAAAGTCAACTACATAAAAACTAAAATATATGAAAATATTTATAGAAACAATCACTCAAAATTATACTTGGCAAATTCTTTTTATTCCTTTAAGCATTAAATTTTTATTGTCAATCAAATGTTACATCAATATAGAACTAAAAGTAATTCATGTACTGCTATCATTAAAATGATCACTATTTTGATCATCGGCTTAAATTTAGCTTATAACTAACATTTTTTTATTGCACGTATTAAGTCATTTGCAAGAAAAGGCAACAAAATAATTTATTGGTTTAAAATAATTAAAATAGGATTTAATGAAATAAAAGTTTAAAACTAGCAGCAAACAGCTTCAGTAGAGCTTTGTTTATCTGTGATGAATATTTAGGCTTTCTAATTTAAATAGTTACAAGATAATCCTTCTAAAGTCAAAAGCAGTTCTTTGCTATAATCTCTGCTGTCACTAGGCTAAGTATGTTTTGTTATTTAGACACCGCATGTAGCTGCCAGCATTCTCATATGCGCATGCATGCTCTTGCTTTCTTTTTCAAAGTTGAGCATTAAAATACATTTAGAAATCTATAGTTGGAAAAGAGAAATGGTTAAATGTAGAAGCCACTCATTTAATATGTTCTTTTAAAAGAGAAAAAAGGTTTTACCAAAAGCATGAAAAGTATATAAAATTAAGCAAATCATTTATGATCAAAGGATAGCATAAGTGAAGGCCTCATTACTAAGATGGTACAAGCAGGTACCAATGCTGCCAGACCCAAGGAGAGTTTTAGCAGGAAAGGTCATACTTGGTTTGATTTTTAAAGCCAAAGCAAAAATTATGAGTCTTAATCCAAATATACTAACTTGGGCCATGGGGCAGTGTAACTTGGATAAAGATGGTATCGCTGCCTGTGAAAGGAAACAAGAAAAAGTAGATTTTTATATATATATATATATTCAATTCATCTGTAAAAATTTATAATGAAAATGTTACTCTTGTCATTCTAGTTTTAAAGAATGCTGTAAATTTTTAGCAAAAGCTCATTACTACTTACTTTTGAGAAGAAAAATTAATTAAATCCAGTTAATGTCAGACTGGAAGTTTCGAAGATTCCTTTTGGATTTACTACTTGATGCCATACTTATTAAATGAAAAATGTTCATGAGAAAACTATCTTATATTACTGGGAGATTTCTAAAAACGTATAAATCTAATTCAAGTGAAGAATTTAGCTGAACACAGAAATACATCATTAACTAAAGATTATTTTGAAAATCCAAACTTGTGAAACAACTTTTATATACTTTGAAAAATAAAAGTGAGTTTCTTACTAATATTAATATATATCTCTGAAAGAATGTTTTTGGGCATATATTCTCATTACAAAATAGCTACAGCTTTGGACATGAAAACAAGCTTGAAAATGAAATAGCTTTTTCCTTCTGTACTCAAAAAAAAACATTTTAAAAAATCATTATGCATTAAATGCTTGGACATATTTTATATAGGAAACTCCCTGATAAATTTAGTATTTCTGACTTCAACAGTACTAAAATCTTTTAGGAAAAAAAGTAAAATCATAAGCCAAAGCCCCAAAAACATTAAAGTAGGACTGAGACGGAACACTAGATGTCCTATACTTGGTTCTAAATCAGTAGAACTATTTATGTTACACTGCCTCAGATCACCAACACATGAAATGGATAATGCATGAGATTAATTAATTCCCATAACACTAGACTCAGGTGATTATGAAAATTTTGCATTTCCCTTTCTTATATTTTTTGCATAATATGCAGTAACTCAAATAATTTGGAACATTGTTTATTCCAGTTATTTGGACAGAGGAGGGTAATTTTACATTCCATAATTTGACTTCTGTTCTTTGACTGCTTACAAAGATATATTGATTTCCCAGGTGGTCCCATATTAAGATAATCTGTTATATTATCTCCTTTCCATATGTATTGATATTTATTTGAAGCCCATGATTACTAAGTGTAGTAATTCAGTTTATTCTATTATTTTTCAGAAGATTAAAATACATTTGTGTATTCAAATCACATGAAGCTGTTGCCCTGTCAATGATTTTCTTCATAATTTGGCACCTACGACAAAACAGGGGTAAGAGGGTATCCAACTCTAGTGTTTACCTACTTACGTAATTCTTACTTTTCTTGAACAGGAAATAAATGTACTGTCTGGAGATAAGCCTCAAGAACGTGGAAGTATATTTAGTATAGTAAATAGACAAAATAAAAACACAAAGCTCATGACTGCCACAAACTGCAGACTTTTTGAAAGAATAATTATACATATGCATACACACTTGTGTAATATAGACATAAACTTGGCTTTGATATACAACACAAGTTTAGGTTCATTGTTTTGGTAAATTTAGGGCAATTCTTTGATTTCTTTAACTGTTTGATCTTGCTGCCTGGAAAATGGTATAAAATATTCTTTCAAGCCAGTTGTTACAGTGCATCCCCGTAATTACAGCACTCCAGGAGGCTGAGGCAGGAGGAGCAACAGGTTTGAACCCAGCCTGGGCAATTTAGCAATTTGTGTAATTCAGACCTGTCTCGACTAATTTAGACCTATCTCAAAAAAATATAAAAGGGCTGGGATGCTGTTCAGCATGAACACTGTGTATTTAGTACCCAGTGCTGGAAAAAAAAATTTACATGTTCTCTTAAAAATCTGTATGCCAGATGCTGGGTGTGGTGGCACATACCTCTAATCCCAGCGCTTGGGAGGGAGAGGCAGAAGGACTGCTGCAAAAGTTTGAGGCCAGCCTGGACTACATAGGGAGACCCTGGCTTAAAACAAACAAACAAACCCTGGGGATGTAGCTCAGTGACACTGCATCTGCCTGGCAAGCTGGCAAGATCCTGAGTTTGAGTTCCGGTACTGCAGGGAAAAATGTGTGTGTGTGATATATATGCCAGAAATTCTTATCATAGAAACTAAACAAACTGACTAATGATGACTTAGGAGTTAAATCCAATTCATTAAAAAACACTGTGCTATTACTCTGTTAAGTAAATCCCAGATAACAGACCTATGGTTCTCAATCTTGACTGCTCATTAGTTGCCTCTGGAATTTTTTTGTGTTGCGGGAGGTTAGGTTAGCGAGGAGAGGGTCTCACTATGTAATTCAGGGTCGTCTTGAACTCGCTTTATACTCCAGGCTGGCCTCAAACTCTTGGTGATCCTCCTGTTTCAGCCTTCTGAGTGTTGCAGTTATAGTCATGTGCCACCATGCTCAGTTTCCCCTGGAAAATTTTTAACAATACTCATGCCCAGGTAGCTAATAACAGTGAAGCTCCCTAAGGTACTGTACTACAGTCAAGTTGAAACCACAGTAGAAGATACTCCTCAGTTTATAAAGGAGTCATTTTTGGAAAAGAAGCCTTTTCCTGAAGGAAAAAAATTGTGTAAGTGATAGATAACATCTTAAACTCATAAAACTCAGATAAATATATCTGAGATTACAAACTTGTCACCTGCAACAGTCTTCCTTGAAGAGCCTAGCATTACAGCTTGAAATGCCTGCAATACATCTTTGGCTTGCAAGGCTTTCTTCACTAAGGGATATGATAAAGCTCATCTATAAACAGAGACCAGGCTCCCTTTTAACACCAGGATATCTTCAAACAGAAAGGTAAAAAAGGCATTTCCTCATTTTCTCCTGTTACATGCAGAAATAAAGCAGTAAACCAGTGGTCTTTTTTCTTTTCTCAGCCATTGTCAGAATCACCTCACAAGTGGACCAGGCCAGGTCAAGGTGAACAGCAGTGCTTTCACTGTGGGAAGCATGTGGTTGCACCAAGTAGGTGGCTGTTTCCCTTCCTTGTCTTTACCACAAAGCTATCGATGGCCATTCTCGCCTATTCTGAGGTCACCTTTCTGTACACTTCTATAGCATTGTGTCTTCATCACTCACTGGACATTTAACTGTGATTTTTCCTAGTGGCATCATTATTTTTCATATCAGTAAAATTGTAAAATTTCTCAGAGAAGGGCCAGGGATTTAGCTCAGCGGTTCGGTGGCCTGCCTTGCAAGCGCAAGGACCTGAGTTCAACCCCCGGTACCAAAAAAAAAAAAAAATTCTCAGAGAAGAATTATTTTTCTTATTAGCAAGAGGTAAGACATGCAAGAAAGAATTATAGGCTTAAAGATGGATTATTTTGGGGGAAAAGTACTATAAGAGGCAAAAGAAAAAAAGAGTAGGATTATTGCTGATTAAAAAAAAAGTCTAGTCAAACTTTGCCTTTTGACTTTTGGAAACATAGGCAATGGGATTTTCTGCAGCTTTGTACCGAGTGGAATGTGTATAGATGACACGAGACTATAGTCTAGGCAGCTCTTTCCTGCCAGCCACTGAAATAGATAGGAAGTGGGGATTCTGTCTAGTGGCAACACAGTAGGTAGTAAGTTGGAGGCTCTGACAATCCCCACAGCAACAGGATCTGTTCCGTAGTCGTTAGTACACACAGGCTGCTGCTAGGTTTTAAGTAAGGAATTAATTGAGCACTTGAATGGTTTTGTATTGGACTGGATTACTTGACTTCAAAATCATTTCTTTTCAGTTTCTCCAAAGACAAAAGAAAAAGAAAAAGAAACTGAAAAACTCTCAAGTCTAAGATTACAAAGCCTAACTCCTAGAACAGTGTTTTTCTCCACTTGTCAGTTTGCAGCATAAAACAAAGCACTGATTCAGAGCACTGAGTTTGGGAACATCTTTTTCCCTGTTTAATGAATCAGTTACAGATTTAACACTAGCAGAGAAAATGTGTTCATCTCCTGTTTTTCTACCTTTTCCATTTTTAGTGATTTAAACTAAAAGAAGCAGAATTCACAACTGATAGCATTCAGTAATTCATTTATTTGGGGTTCAGTAATATGGTCTTACAGCTAGCTGCCTGCTCTAGGGAAAGAATCCTGCAAACAGCTAAATAGATCCAACCAATAATGACTTTTGGGAAGGTATACTGAAAAGGTGCTGCTTTTATTTTAATTTACATTGGTGGGGGGGGTAGGGATCGAACTCAGGACCTTGTGCTTGCCAGGCAGGTATAGTGCCACTGAGCTAAATTCCCAGCCTTATTTTCTTAATTTAGAGGGTTGTTAAATTGAAGAGACTAAAAGGGCCTTTAAAAAAAAATCTAGTGTTTATTTGAATCAGCTTATTATATATGTAACGTAACTCCATGATCCTTAGTCATCAAATAAAGCTAAGATATATTAAGACAAATATATTTTATTTTTTTGTGGTACTCAGAATTGAACTCAGGACCTTGTGCTTGCAAGGCAGGCACAGTGCCATTGAGCTAAATCTCCAGACCAAGACAAATACACTTTAAATAGTACAAAGGTAAGACAAGACTGCTGGGTAACTGCAAATGTATGTATACTATAGAAATAAACCAATAGGATTATGGACCAAATCTCAGAACAATATACCTCCAAAAAATTATTGAAAGTAGATTTTTCAGTTAGAGTCTCTGAACTGAAGAAAACCTTAAAAATCTAGTTTGGCTCCGTGAAGGCATAGAGAGCATTGCAGGGTGGGATGCTAAACCAGGATTCCTAACTCCAAGGCCAGTGCCTCCATGATGTTATGTTGCTTCCAGTATTGGATTCTGTCGTCAAATACCAGGCTGGAACTTAACCAGCACACTGAGCTAAGACAGCCAATAAAAAGAACATGTGGAAGTAGTCACAACAGGGAGATAGGTCAAATTTTAATTTAATAATAAATGTAAAAAGTGATGTGTTCTTACAAAAGTTTTAAATTTTTACATGAAACAGATGAGACTATTAACTGTGACCTAGATGTAAATAAAAGGTACACAGGCAGTGTGTACCAGGATACACTGTATATTATCAGGGTACCTCAGGCAGGCTAAGGAAGGGTTAAGTAGAAGTTTGAACGTGACACACTGTAAAATTAGAAGCTGTTGCAGAATTTGGTGGGGAGGGGTTGGCGTATCTTGACTAGTATTAAAATAATTTTGGAAACACAAAACTGACATTCCTTGGAGATTTCTAAGAATGATCTTTGTTTCCTCTTGATATGAGAAATGCATTTGAACACTCAAATGAAGCTTACCAATTTTACCACCAGTCCTTACAGTAACATATAAATTTAAAGAGGGCCGTTCCAGCAGACTTTTTAAAAACTGCAAGTTGCTGGAGTTCAGAATTTATTTTTATAATGATATCTTTTGAAATGCTATCTGACTTGTGTATAAGTTCACACACACAAAAGATCATTGAGACTTTTTTTAACCTCAAGCATGAATAATACTAACAACTGCTTTAAAGCACTTAAAATTTTAGCACCTACTTGAATGAAAAGGGCTTGAATGATCAGAATCAAACACGCTGCAAACATCTGTGGTACTGGAAGCACCAGAAGCAGGAGGAGGTGTTAGCGGTGTTCTTGGAGAATTTGGTGCAGATGCTGTACTTTCTGTTTCACTTTCAGGAATCCTACTATAACTAATTTTCCTTGGCTCCTGCTGTAGAGGTGTGGGATGCCTCATGGTACCTGGTCTTGGGTTTGATGGACGAACACCAGGAGATTTTAGGGGATAGCTATATTTTTTTGGCTGGAGACATATCAAAAGAAACAATACTTTAAACACCATGGTAGAAAGGAATGATTTTCTCTATGTGCTGATAAAATGCAACTAAAAAGCTAGGAAAACCATAAATCAACAATCAGGAAGTAACAATTCTAATCAGACTGTTCAAGTTAAACTCTTATTATTTCATTTTGTTGAAGCTTTGGCAAGCCTCATTGTTAGAAAATGAATTTCTTTAAATTAACTAAGTTTTACCCCATAAACATTATAGTATGTTATTTTAATATCTTTAGGTAAAATTTTTTCTAAAATATATTGTGTATTTCCCTGGCTTTTAAAACAGATTATATGGCACAAATTCAACCTGTTGGAAAAGCCAAGGTAATCATCATGAATTATAATACCTGTGTTGTAATACATGGATGCCATTAGGACTGTTGAGCTTCTTCACAAACGCATCGAACTGCCTAAGTTTTCATCTAAATGTATGTTAATTTTATGGTATTTTCCTTGCAGAGCATCATTTC